AGGTTTGATCCTTTATTAAAAGCACAGGGTGCTTTGTCATCAGTCTGAGTGGGCGCAGGATCAGGGAGGTAAATCCTCGTCTCTTGACCTTCCTGAAGGCCACTCTGTGCTACTTTGTATGGCTACAGACACTGCGTCTGCATCTGGCTACTGCATCGCTGACCGTCCCTACCGGTGAGACCCTGCATTTCAAAGGGTGAAATGCACCCAGGCTGAAAACATGACACAGCCCCTAAGATCTTACAGTCTGAGGGAGGTCGTGTTCTGCTTTATGCTTCGCCTTTTAATCAAGAGTGTTACTTAACTTTTCAATCCACAACTGCATCTTCGGAGTGAAAGCTGCAGTATTATGTGCTATGGTTGCTACAGGAGAAAGGAAACGTCTTTCGTATTTACTGATGTCCTTTGCAAAATACTCTGGGTTTTTTGAATGATGTACTCACTATTATTTCCATGCCATTACTTATAAACTTCAGAGCACTTTCTGGAGGGAACTTGAGCAAGATGAAAACCTTGGGGCAACAATCCATTAGGCTTTTATTTTTATAGGCTGGGTTAAATCTTCTTGAAACTGGTAGATTTAACTGCATTCCTTTATTTAGGGTCGCTGAAGGAGACATTAAATCTGTGTTTCTAACCACAGGCTCGTGCACCTGAAGGCTCAGAGGGGACAGTCTTGGGCAGGACATTAAAAGGAAAGAGATTTTGTGTAGATGGACAATCTGATTCAGGTGGAGAAGACAACAGAAAGAGAGCGTGTTGAAACAGGCAGGGAACGGAAGCTCTGAGCAGCCTGAACAATCACTGATACAAAACCTGGACTGAACACAAGACACAGAGGGGCTTGGGGTCACAGTGCTGCCGGGAACAGGTGTGGAGCTGGAAGCAAGGAAGCTCTCGGCTGTGTGATTTCTTCTGCATTCAGGAAAGGAGGGCTGGGAGCATTCTTGTAAGCACGCAGAAACACAACAGAAATACCTTTCTTCATCACTCCTCCTCCTCCAATCTGAATCAACCAGTGAGACCTTGAACGTTAGCCAGCAACACAGGTCCAAGGGAGGAAATGTGCTGCAAAACCTCCCACACATCTGCACCATTTAACTCTTCCTGCTTGGTTTGGGATTAAGATGGCACAAAGACAGCAGCTCTTCTCCCTCAGTTCACCAGAGCAGGCAGTTCGGGCCGAGGTTTAGGGCCCTTTTGTCCCTAATTGCTTTGCAGATGAATCATTTTATGGCCTTCCTTTGCTATCGTAACAAATCAAACTTCCCCAGGCTTTGCTGTAAGCGGTTTGAACAACGCTGTGTGCTCCGCAGGGAACTCTTTAAAATGAGGCACCTGCCATTGGCTTTTCTCCTGTAGGTGAATTAATTTGCCTTGCATGAGTAATCCTATTTGAAACTACAGGTTGCCTTGCAAGAATGAGGGAAGCAAGTCTAAAGCATGCTTTTATGCAAGTGCAGCAAAAAGGCCACATAGCAGTTCATGAGGGGACACTTCTGCAATAAAACTGCAGTTGCCAGTAACTGCAATAATAGAATAAAGGATAATTTAATAAAGGGATTTTTAACTCATTTAACAGTGACTACATTCGGAACACTTTCTCCAAGTGATCAGGCACACTATGCTTTCCTAACTCTACTTTCTGTTAATAAGTCAGAGAAAAAAAGCAGGCAGTAGTCTCCTTCTTCTGCTTTTATTGTTACATTGCAGGAGAGCACTGTTCAATGTAAAGAAATTGATTTGGGTAAGATGAAGGGCTGAGATACAAGCTGGACACCCAGGCCAGCCCTGGAGTAACATGAATCACACAGTGCCATCTCAGAACTACAGCAGTCAGCTCCTTGAGTACCAGGTAAGCCTAAGACTAAATGCAAAGATCCTGCAATGACTACAGGAAATCCTACGGGACTCCGCAACCTAAGCAAAGTAAAAGGTGCAAAAATGGGTCACACGGTGCTCAGATAGGAGCTGTGCATCTTGAATTTAGTCTCCGCCATCTCTGCTCAGTTGAAGCAGTCCCTTTGCGGTGCAGGTTTAACACCTGGGAGATCTCGCGTACTGGCTGGCTCGCCGCTCCCTGCTGCATCAGCTCGCCGACGGAGCTCAGCACAGCGAAGAACCGAGCCTGACGCTGCCCTGGAGCTGAACGATTCGATGGGAAACCTCTAGAGGTCGGGCGAGCTCCGAGCCTCGCTGCACAGCTCGCTGCCTGCCAGTGACACCTGCCGGGCTCCTGCGTGTCCCGGAGCCTTCACAGAGCCGAGGAGGCACGGGGCGAGCTGGGTGCCTCCCAGATATGGGCACAGCTGGGAGGGATTGTCCCCGTCTGCTCTGCCCTCGTGAGGTCCCACCAGGAGCACTGCGTCCAGGGGTCCCCAGTACAGGGATATGGAGCAGCTGGAGCGGGGTCTGCAGAGGGCACGGGGATGTCAGAGTGGAGCGCATCTGCAGTGGGCGCGAGCTGAGAGCTGCGGGTGTGCAGCCTGGGGAAGAGAACCTCCAGGGAGACCTCGCTGCAGCCTTCCACTACCTAAAGGGAGCCGATAAACAGCAGGAGAGTGACTTTTAACACGGTCTGATAGTGATAGGACAATGGGGATGGTTTTAAACTGGAAGAGAGGAGATTTAGGTCGGATGCAATAGGGAAATGGTTCACTTGGAGGGCAGTGAGGCGCTGGCATTGCTTCCAGAAAGGTAGTTGCCCCATCCCTGCCGTTGCCCGAGGTCACGACTCCGTAATAAGCAGCATCAATGTACGCCGTCCAGCCCCGCCCCGCCCCGCCCCACCCAACATGGCGGCGCCCCATGCCCACCCTCCGACCCTCCTCCCGTCAGCCCCTGCGTCGCGCCCCCTTCCCGTCTCGCCCCGCGGTGGCGCACGGCACGACAAGATGGCGCAGCCGCCGGGTGAGTGCAGCTGGCCGCCAAGGTGACCGTGGCTCCTCGGCTCTCGCTGACCGCGCTCTGTTTCTTTATCCCGCAGTTCCTCTGAAGGACATGAAGCTGCTGGACGTCAAGCTGGGCCAGCTGCCCAGCTGGCTGGCTATGAGGGACTTCACCCCCGGCGGCATCGTGGGCGCCTTCCGCAGAGGTGAGAGAAGCGGGGCTGTGGCTGCAGCTCTGAGCAGCGCCCTGTGCTGTGCGTGCGGCTTGAAAACAACAAACGCTAGCGTCTCCGTACTGTGTGTGTTAGCACTGAAGAGTCAGGTAATCCCGAAGTAGCATGAGTTTGTTAGGGCCGTGCTAACGTTTGGGGAAAAAGATCGTTTTTACCTTTTTTTTGGCTTGCACTGACACTGTGCTTCACCAACACACGTTGTTTTCTCTCAGACTTGATTGTGAGACCCCTGGGTGTTTCATCAGAAGCACTTTCCGGAAGCCTTTTGCAATCAGCATCTTTCTTTCTGACAGAAAACTGTTCATCTGGCTGCTGTGAAAACCTCCTTTCTTCTCCGCAGGTTATGAGAGGTATTACAATAAATACATCAACGTGAAGAAAGGGGGCCTTGGTGGTATCAGTATGGTGCTTGCGGGGTATGTTGTCATGAGCTACATCTGGAGCTACAGTCACTTGAGTAAGTAAAAACTATGGCTGAATGTGGGGAAGCTTAGTGATTGCCTGGGGCAGTGAAAACAGTAAACTTTGTAACTGCTCTTAGAAATGAAGTCAAAGAGCATCTTAAGTGTTGTCACTTCAATCTGATGCTGTCTAGAGAAGCAAATTGAATTCTTCTAATTGTCAGATAACCCACACTTCATTGGTGATGAAAGAAATGTAGCTCTTATTGCCTCTTTAACCTGATGGTGCTTAAAAGCTACACACTTAGATTTCCCCTGGAGTGCTTTCTTTGTGTGTGTGAAATCCATGGATTTTTTTTCTTCTTGCAACTTCTTGTTGTTTTACTTTGATACAGAGCATGACCGTCGCAGGAAGTATCACTGAAACATGGAATTCAGAAAGTGAAGGTGCAGCTTGTGGCCACTGGGACATTCATCCTGACAGAAGGCAACTGAACTGTCATTCATTAAAAAAAATCTCTACTGTTGTGACCAATAATAAAGTGCATACACTTTACACTTGCTGAACTGAACCTGTCATAAATGGCTTGTTAATTTGACTGTGTGGGTGAGGTTGTCTTCTCAATTTTGCACCTCACAAGGATAAGTTTGGGAAAAAGTTCCTGCTACCTAGGCTGCATTATGAATTGGGGAAATTATTACAAATGGTTTGCATTTAACTCTTTGATAAGAAGCAAACAAATGCTTTTTACTTCTGCTGGTCTAGCTGTTAAAGGTTGGACAGCTAGATGAGAGGATATAATATTTTAAAGAAGAATATCTTAGAGGCTTGGTGTGGCTGTGTAATTCTCCATCTGTCTGTCACCTGGGGCCCAGAGGCATTTGGACAGTTTTCCACCATCTGAGACAGGTTCAGGTTTGTTACCTGTTAAACCATTTCTGTCAAAACTATAGCTGTGTTCATTACTTACAGCAGCTGGGAGGGTTTTCTGAACGGGTGTAAGCCTAAAGGAACTGTGATATAACGAAAGTCCATTAAAAATGGAAAACTGCTGATTGACTTAAATGCGCAATTGCAATTTAAAGGAGCAGCTGTGGATTTGGCCCCACCTGATTAGCTTCCTCATGCTTTCCACTGAGCAGGTGCATCTTAAGAAGCCTGTTGTACCTGGGTGCTGCAGGTACAGTCTGCAGTATTTTTCTCATAATAGGAGCAAGAATGAAAACCATGAGCTAAGGAATACAAATCTCTTGAGCTTTATCAGTAAGAGAAAGGCTTTTCAGTTGCAGAAAACATCCTTTCAGGGAGTGAAGACTTTAAGTCTCCCTGAACTAGATGGGAATGGTAACTACACAAGGGTTTGTTCCCTTTCCACACACCTAGTTACATGCAGGTGTCATTTAGTTTGGCTGCTGTTCAGCATGAAGGGACACAACACAGTAAGCAAATTCTTGACACTTTGCTGTAATACAGTCTCTTAGTCTCAGAACTTCTATTTTGACTGACTCTGAATGCACACAGTGAAACAATGGCTGCCATTCAAACCAACATAGGCTCTGGTCAGTTTTTCTAATTTAACCATGTTGCCCTACTTAAAAAGAAAATAATCACAGACAGCTTTTTCCATCCGTACATTTCAATAAAAACAAGGTACAAAGGCAGTCAGCAAATGAGAGGGGTTATCATCAATAAGGCTCACATAGGTGCAAGTTGTTGGTTTTTTTTTTAATTCACATTTTATCATTGGCCCTTTTGAAATAGTTGTCTCACAAAACAAATAGGTTTTGGCTTGCAGAGGTACGATCTCAGAAGAATGTTCTACCACTTTTAAAAAGCAGTGTTCCATAAAAATATACAGCTCCACTTCTTGGTCTTCTCTAGGCTACAGAAATACCTGTTTGGTGTGAGCTGAATGACAGGGGTGCTGAGAAAAGGCTCTTTTGTTCCTACACTTTAAACTGTGTTCATTTCCCTGTGTTTTTTGCAAATGGAAAATGAACACAGATGTGAATTTCCCAAAATCATTTCTTATTATTTGGCCAACTACAGAGATGCCAATTTATTCTTCCCAAATCAGTTCTCACCCAGAAGATTAATTTCTAACCTTCAGTATAGCAAGAAACACAGAAACAAAGTGGACAAGAGTTTTATAGCCTGGTGCATGTGAGGCATTAAGTCAATCACCAGGACAAGCTCACAAGACTGGATCTAGGAACACAACTTCACTTTGTAAGAGCAGGACAGCAGAATTCCTCACTGAAGGGAAGGCATTTCAAGGACTAATTTTCCCAGTCAGTCTTTCTGCTTCCACAGGGAGTGCTGAAATGCTGCAGGTTCTCCAAAGAGAAGTGGCAGGAGGAAAACATTTAAAAAACAAAAACCACCAGGGTCAGCTGCATTGACATGGAATGCTGCACCGGTGAGGGCTTTGCGTGTCTGTTTGCTTTTAGATCTGCCTTTCAGCAGGGCTCAATGAAAGTAGACGGAGGCCAAAATCTATTTTAAAAAGGTTAAAACATAAAAAAAGTTGTGGACAATTACAAAAACGTTGCTTAGCAGCAGCCAGCCTCTGACCAGTTCTTTCAGTAATGGCATTAAAAAACCAACCTGATTAATAGTTCAAGAAATAGTGCAAGGCAGAAATCTTTTCTCAGTGTTAATAGCTCCCTTGCACTCTTCTTTCTGCTCTTTCACTGTCCACTGAGAAAGGCCAGATGTCCTTTGGTGCATCTGTTGGCATAATGACCTTTTTCACCACACTAAAAAAAAGAAGAGAGAGAGAGGTTTTTAGAGTTATAGATTCTTTCTCTTGCTGCCTTTAATAAGCAGCTTTTAACAGCTTTTCTGTGTATGGAAGACGCAGCATTCAGTCAGTGGAGTCAGTGAACTGGTGTCAAAAGAGCCACAACTTATGGACTATTTCCACTCCCTGGAGCAAAAGCTGCTTCTGTGCTGGGATCAACCACTACCACGTTATTGTATGACAAAAGGGACAGGTCCCAGTGCACTGCTGCAAAGAGCTGTGACATACAGTGTTAATTTCAGTATTTGAGGCTTCCAAGACTATTCCACTTAACATGTAAACTGCAATGGAGATTTATACTGGGGGCTCAGCTGATCCTGGATTGCACAGTTAAAAGTGCATCTAAACAAGAAATTTGTGACATTGCACCTTAGGGCTATTCAAAGCCAGAGGGAAACATCAACCTCTGATATTACAGCATTCTCCACTGTAGTGGAAATTTAAGTCAGGGCTTGAAGCAGTGATTGAGCACCTGGTGGAAAGGCAGGGCCAACCCAGGGGAGCTCAGGTGTGTGCAATGCATCTGAGTGACTGGAAGGGTAGAGTCAGGATCCACCCTTTCCCAGACCTCATTTAAGGGCCGGCAGTGGAAGCAAGAGGATCTCACTGGAGATCCCTACCTACTGGAGGCCTTCTAAAGGTAAGCAGTTTTTCTTCCTTTGTGTCTGCGGCTTTTGTGTTTGAACTCGTTCTTTCTTACTACAGCCTAGGATTGTGTCTTTTTGTTATTACTGCTGTACTTTCCTTCACGTTATAGCACTACATCCAAACATGTAGTTTACTTCCTTAAATCCTTGCTTATTTACTGGAGAGGAAGTAGCCTTAAACAGAGATATGGCTTTTGAAAGCTGTATTTGCAGAAGACTGGATTTGATTCAGCTTCTTAATATCCTTGTCCAGTCACAGTAACTGCTGCTCAAGCAAGCAACCAGCAACAAAGCAACATGAGATAATCCAGGTGATGTGTGTTCTTATTACTTAAATGTGGTACCCCTGCCTTCCCTCCCTTCTGAATTACCTTGTAACAGGTGACCTGCTCCAATGGCCGGGGTCCTCTGTTCCCAGTGTTGTTGTTTTGAGATTGCATGACTCCAATAACTTGGGGTGTCCTCTGTTAGTTAAGAGAAGAGTTCTGATTCATTAAGTGCATCAAGGACAATGATTTTTACACCTCTTATTTTCTTAACAAGAGAAAAGAACACCCCACATATTGAACGATCCGTTTTCCTCCCAGTCTGTGTGGGTGATCTGCCAGCTGGAGCACCAGAGAGAAGAAACCAAAAACTAAGGATTACAAAACCCAGCAATCCTGCTTTTCTCTGAAGAGCAGCTTTAGAGAATTGGTTTGGGCTGCTAAAATATCATTGCCATGACTGAGATGTCATGCAGATTACAAAAACTGGCAGATGGTTGCATAACCACACGTGACATGCTTCTGTTCTACAGGAGCATTCTGTGATTAGATCTTCATGTTATAGTACAGCAACTGTAAAGACTTTCATTGCTATAATGGCCTCTTCTAAAGGACTGTGGAAAATGCTTTGAGAGTGGGTGTGTGTAGGAAGCAGGGGAGTTGTGTACCTTTTGCTGTGTTTGTGCTGGCTGAGGCAGTGGTGGTTGCTCTGTGGTTCCCATAGGTAGTTCAAATCGAGGGCTGTTTTAGGCAGAAATAAAGATTCTCAAATTATACACCAACATTTTTTGCATCAGCTCAGTTAAAAAAAAAAAACTCCAAACAAAATGTTCAGCTAATTAAATTAGATTTATGGAAAACGGACCTTTCCCCAGTTATCATTCTGGTGCTCAGTATTTATGCTTGCTAAAACAATATGCCAGTAACCAAAAGTCTTCTGTAACACAAGCTCATGCAATCCCACCATGGCATCTGAGCACCACTTCAGTGTCTTACTGGTAGCTCTCTGGGGAGGACAAGCACCACATCCTCCAAGCAAAAACAGACTGTGATACCAAGTGTTGGCTATCTCTACAGAACCACTGGGAAGCACTGGACACCCCCATATGACAACATCAGGTTAAGTGGAAGCATCATTAAAGAGCAAGCCTGCAAACATACTCACTGCATGAATTTACAGGTAGGCCCTTCTGGACAGAATCCTACTAGGTAATTCACACAAATGACTCTTCGAGTGTGCCGGTGTCTGCAGAGTGGACCTGCAACACAAAGCTCCATGGTTCATGTACCATCTATGTGCACTGCAGTGTTAAATAGCAGCAGGCACACAAAGCAGATCATGCAAAGAAATAATAGCAATGCCCTCCTCTTATAGCCACAGAAGCAGCAGCTATACAACATACATACCGTGTTTACAGAAGCCTCTGTCGTACCAGGGACAGTCTTTGATCTTAGATTCCGGGTCAATGTGCAAGAATGGACATTCTTTGTTACTGCATTCCCCTGTACCAAAGGCAAATGCACTTCTTAGTTAATGATGCAGGCTCAAGATCAAATAACTCCTAAAATGTTACCTGGATCACGTAGCTCCCACAAAGCTGTTACCAGCATTCATAAGTTCAGGTACAACAGTCTTATTGCCTGACTAAACCTAGAGGATGAACACCAACCACTCACCCCTAGTGAGTGAAGTCCTACCAGACTGGATTATTTATGTGAGCTTTTAAAAACAATGTGGAAACTGATCTTGAGAGTCATGATAACAAAAAACCAACATTTAGTGCACCAAAAGTGTGGAGAAACTACAAATTGCACACTAACCTCAATCCAAGGAAACCTACAAGACTGTAGGTTTCTGACAGCAAGTTGCCTCATTATGTCCAGATCTCCAGAGCTGGAAAGCAAGTGCATAAAAGTTTTGCACCCCCATGCCCTCTGCTGCTCATCAACTCCCCAAAACAAGATTCATGCAAAGATCACCTGCTCATCCTACTCAACTCATGCTAAAAAGAGGAATATAAAGTACAAAACCCAGTAAACAATGTGAACTTCCTCCCTCTTCCCCACAGTGACAAGCTCTTGAGAGAGAAGACATCTACAACACGTGGTGGACTTAGGGGAATAAAAAGATAAAAGAGCTAAGCAGACCTGAAAAACTACAACCAAACAGTGTCAGCAGACACGGAAGAACTGAAATATTCTGAAGATGGAATAAGAGGGATGCACCAGGATCCTCTTCACCAGACTCCCACACTTGCAAGGAACACTAAGTAGGAGCTACAACACTTCTTACCAAATTTGGAGTAGAAGTAACACTCAGGCATCTTGGTCATGTCATACTCGTGCAGAAACTCGCACTGGTCTCCCTTTTTGCATAGTCCTCGTAGCCAGTGTTTGCAAACAACAGTCTTTTCCCCACTGATGTGTCTGAATGGGCACATACCTCCTACATGAGGATGGGATAAGGAAAATGAGAAAGAACAATTAAAATCTGCAGCACAACCCGGAACACAACAGCAGTGCTCCACTTGCCTCTACAAGAATTCAGTTTTTCTTATGACTTGCTTTTAATGCAATGACAAACAAGGACATCCAGGCAAGTCCTGTTTTACCCTCAAACAAGCTGAGCACCGTAGTCTCCAGCTTTGAATCCCAGCAACCACAACCCACAGATATTATAGCAGTTACATCCACAGCAAACCCCACATGATTTGTGGAGTTAACCCAATATCCTTCATTTTTATCCCCTTCCTCAGCCCTCGGCTTAATAAAACCCATGATTATCATAGACAGCACTAGCAAATCTAATTCTCCTCCCTGCTACGTGAGTGTAAGTGTACTGGAAATACAACTTGCCTTTCCCACATGCCGCCTTTAAAAAAAATTCACAGACAGCTGCACCTGATTCTGAGGAGAGAAGAAAGATAATAAATGTTAACAAACTTTTGTAGGAGCTTTCGAAGTATTTTCTTCCTGAAGAAATTATCAAGCCCTCAAATTCAAAAGAGAAATAGCATTTTGGGTTGAGAAATTTACATTCCTGCATGGATTCTTTGTTCAGGTCTGGCCTTCACAAATATCTGTATTCTCCTCAATGAATACACAGCAGGGAAATTTGCAAAGTTCATTAGTTCTGTTTATAGACTTTCTGACTTAGGTTCTGCAGGCTGGGCACTTACTATTAAACCAATTGCTGTAGTGAAATGTGTTTAGAGCTCTGGCAACTCCAGTCTTGTACTTTCTCAGCAGAACAACCTGAACCAATCATTGCTGCGTTATCCCTTGCTGACCAACAGGAATCACAGCATTGAAGGGAGCAACATGAGGTCAGCAGCACTGACACAGAACATCAGCAAACTGTTGAGTCTCCCAGGACTATTTGTATCAGTTGACAGGTTGGAGAAGACCTCTACGATGACCAAGTCCAACCAGCCCATCCTCTCTATGCCCACCAACCGTGTCCTTCACTGCTACATCCCCACATTCTCCATACCTCCAGGGACTCTACCATCTCCCTGGGCAGCATGTTCCAATGCATTACATCTCTTTTGGAGATTAAATGTTTTCTAAATACCCAACCCGAACCTCCCCTGGCACAACTTGAAGCCATCACCTCTCATCCTACTGCTGTTACCTGGGATCAGAGGCCGACCCTCACCTCACCACAACCTCCTTTAGGACCTGTAGGGGTGATGTGGTCTCCCTTGAGCCCCCCCCCATCTCCAGACTATCTAGGAAAGCGTTGTGACACCAGACCATGAACCCACCTACAGCTTCCCTGCGGCCAAAACACCTCATCTACCAAAACGGAAATAAAACAACAGCTTGGGAGAGCAGTGTTTATTCACATGAATGCCTCAACTTTGCTTCCATCCCAGCTTGGCACAAACTACAAACTACAGACACGCAGCACCCGGCAGAACCTCGTGGGGCAGCAGGAGCTGAGGGGACACGAGGACGGGAGCCCGGTACAGGGCCCGGGAACCCCCCCACCACCCCGGGACAGGGACAGAGGCACCCCGGAGAGGAAAGGCCGCGCCCTGAGCCCACACGCACTGTCCATGCCGGGAAAGGGCAGCGGCTGCGCCCCCAGCTGCTGCTCCACCGCCAGCTCCAGGTCGAACTTGATGTGGTCCACGCTGGCGATGAGCTCCTGCATGGTGGCAGCCGGGGGGCGACGGCACCGGGAGGGAAGGGGGGGAATGGTGGGGGCCGGCTGCGGCCAGGCCCGGCCTGGCCTGGCCCGGCCCAGCCTGCTTCGTTTCGGCAGCGCCTCAAAGAGTAAAGGCGGCCGCGCGCGCCCCGCGCCGCGCCGCCCGCCTGTCCCGGAGGATGCCGGGAAACCACCTCCGCCTCCGGCCACCCGGCAGGCAGCGCGCCCGCACGGCTCTCCGCCAATCAGATGGCGGCGTGGCGCTCTAGGCACGCCTCTTCCGGCCGCGCAGGCGCCGTGGCGCTACGGTGGCCGTGAGGGGGCGTTGCCACACGAGCGGCGGGTTCCGCCGCGCTCCCGTTATGAGGCCCGCGCGGCTCCTCCTCCTCCCCCTCTCGCCCCTCGCTTGGTGGTGCTGCCGCGCCGCTGCTCGGCCGCCCCTCGGCCCGCTCTGCTCCCCCAGGCCGAGCCTCCCGCCGCTGCGTGGCCTGAGGGCGCTGAGCTCGTCACAGTTGCCCCCTGAGGTGTGCGGTGCGAATGGGAAGGGAGGCGAAGCGGGAGGCCCCGCCAGAGCTGCGGGCGGTGAGGAGAAGAATGATGAGGATGAGGATGATGAGGGTGTGGAGTTCGGGACGCTGTCTACAAAGTTCTCTTCTAGAAAATATTACCGCAAAACCACGTCAGTGTTTCGGAACTTAAAGCTTGAAGAGGATGGGGAAGAAGAAGGAGAAAGGAGGCTGTGGCGCGGCCCCAGGAACACCCCGTACTGGTACTTCTTGAGGTGCAAGGCCCTCATCAAGGAGGACAAGGTTTGCTCTTTGCTTATTTGGGTTTTAATGACTTTTGATCCACATGGATGAACACTTTTGTGTTGGGATTAGAGTGGTTCACTTAGGAGGGGCTTGCAGAGATCATCAAGTTCCAATACCTGACCATCTTGGGGCTGAATTGAAGTCTAAGTTGTACCTGGAAGATGTGCTCTGATGGTGTGTGTAGCAGCTGGGTTCTGGTGCTGGGCAGATCCTCCCCCCTTCCTACTCCTGCCTTCCCTTTATGGCCGACCCTCTGTGCTCAGCACAGTTGAGGCCACACCTCAAGTACTGTGTTCAATTTTGGACCAATCACTACAAAAAAAAAAAGATGTGGAGGCCCTGGAGTGTGTCCAGAGAAGGGCAATGAAGCTGTGAGGGGTTTAGAGCATGAGCCTTATGGGGAGCAGTTCAGGGAACTTGAATTGTTCAGTCCAGAGAAAAAGGGACCCTGAGGAGACCTCATTGCTTTCTGCTCCCTGAAAGGAGGTTGTAGTGAGATGGGGGTTGGCCTCTGATCCCAAGTAACTGATAGAATGAGAGGTGATGGCCTCAAGTTGTCCCAGAAGAGGTTCAGCTTGGGTATTAGGAAACATCTTCTTGGAAAGAGTGGTAATGCATTGGAGCCAACTGCCAGGGAGGTGGTGGAGTCACCATCCCTGGAGGCGATTGAGAACTGTGGAAATGCGGCACTGAGGGACTGACAGATAGGACTCAATGATCTTAAAGGCCTTTTCCGACTTAATGATTCTATTGTGCTACATGTTTCGTTATCATCTTTACAAAAAGAAGGAAAACAAGAATTTATGAGGAATTCTGTGCTCTGTAGGATTTCTGACTGCAGCTGAGACTATTCATATCCTTGTAACTGATTCTCTTGTTGCCTTATAATGGATTTTCCTTTTCTCTGTAGCTAGCAGAGGCCCTGGAGCTGTTTGAGGTGCAGATGCTGAAGGAGGAGCGAGTGAAGCCAGAAGAGAGCAATTACACTGTTCTAATTGGCGGCTGTGGCAGGGTTGGCTACGTGAAAAAGGCATTCAGACTCTACAATGATGTAGGTTTACGTTCTCTCTTCTCTTGAGCCTTCATTAGGTTTTCTCAGCTACTACATCTGTTTCTAGCATTTGGTCCTGTTTTTCTCTCCAAAATGCCTTTGAGCTAATGTTCACCTTTTCTTAGCCTCAAGCTATTAAAACCAAACGATGAAATAACTCTTTTCCTAAAAGCTACTTCCACGTCTTCTCTTCCCTTAGATGAAAAAGCGAGGCTTAACTCCTACTGAGCCCACATACACAGCACTGTTCAATGCCTGTGCAGAATCACCATGGAAAGACTCAGGCCTGCAGAGTGCCCTCAAACTACGGCAGCAGCTGAAGGACAAAAACCAGGAGTTGAACCTGATCACTTACCATGCATTACTGAAAGTCTGTGCGCTGTGCTCGGATCTCAGGATGTGTTTTGATGTACTGAAGGTAAACACAGGACTTTTCTTGTGTTCTGCTCTAATTAAAGCTCTTGGAAGTTGCAATATTGCATTATCACATTGCAGTGATAATTTTTGCAGTGATAATTACTGACCAGGTGTTTGTATTTCATTGACTTTGGTCTCATTCAATTAAATTATCTTGATACTTACCAAGGTCAAGTACATAAAATGATGCCACATGCATCAACAGCTGTGACAGACTGTTTGAGTACCTGGGAAGTCTAATGCTCTCTCTCCTGTTCTTTAGGAATTGGTGCACAAGGGCCACGTTCCCACAGCTGAGACCTTCAGCTTCCTTCTAATGAGCTGCATAAAGGACAGTGAAAGTGGCTTCCGATATGCCTTACAGGTTTGTCTTTATGTGCTAAATGGCAAGAAAAAGGCACTTCTGTACTGTAACTTGTCACCGAAATGTGCAGAGGGCAGCAATTTCACAGAGCTGATGAAATGAGGTACTCAGCTCCTCCTGGGGCAAGTTCTACAAATCAGACACCCTTCAGGACATTGTGTAAGATGTTGGAGAACCCTGGAGGACCTCACAGGGCTGTACTGGCTTGAGGTGGCTGTTCACTGCCCACTGGCATCTCACCTTATTGTGCTATAAACTTCCTTTTCTGCAGGTAGATAATGTAAGAGTATGCGCTGTAAGTATGCTTACAGTCTGCTAGAAATGCTCCTGTTATTTGCTGTTATGTATGTTTGTTCCTTTTTCCCTCTTCAGGTTTGGAAACAAATGACTAAGCTGGGCATAAAGGCCGATAGCCACAGTTACAATTTGATGCTGCGTGCTGCAAGAGACTGTGGAATAGGTGATCCAGCTGTGGCTTCTAAAGTATTGCTGAGACCCACTGATGAGAACTCACCTCAACTGAGGCTTGCACCTGGCAGGCAGAAGGTGAAAAATCAGAGAAAGAAGGGAGAAGAGGCTGCACCAGTTGTCCAGCTGGATGTGGAAGCCATGGAAAAGCAGTTATTTCAGGAAAGTTCAATGCAGCCTGAAAAACTGATTGTGCAACAAAACAAAGATGTGAATCAGGCTGAAAATAAACCAGTACCAACTGGTCTTGACAGCCCTAATGTAAGTCACAGCAGGACTGGAGCACTGATGAGGAGAGGCCAAGATGAGGCACAGCAAAAACAGGCTTATCTAAGCCAGAAGCTGCACTTCTGCAACCTGCCCAACCTGCTGGATTCACAGATAGCTGATGCAGATGTGGTTTCCTTGGGGACAGTATCCACACCATCTGATAGACTGTCTTTGATGGGAGATGTGGAGGGTTTCTTGAATAAAATGAAAGAGGACAATGCAGAGCCTGACATTAAAACATTTACTTTACTGGCGGAGCTGGTGGAACCCCAGAGCCCATCAGAATCCTCTTTGCTGGCACTCCTTGATGAACATAAAGTGAAAGTAGATGTGACATTCTTTAACACTTTAATAAGGAAGAAAAGTAAACGTGGAGACCTAGAAGGAGCCAAGGTGAGGAACTCGGAACCAGCCATGTTGCTGTTTTCTTGTCCCAGGCCTCCAGTGGTGCCTGTGTTTCACTGTGAGACCTGTTTCTCTGTCCACAAGATAAACTGAGAATCTTACACTGTTTTTCACTAGCTAGCACTACGGTGGAGCTTCTTGGGAATTGATGCCAACATTTGTATCTTACAGAGCCTTCTGTCAGCTCTTGCAGAGAGGAGAATATCACCTAACCTCCAGACATTTTGCAACTTAGCAATTGCTTGCCACCAAAAGAAAGATGGACTGCAGTTACTCTCAGATTTGAAGGTAATATAAATAACTAACAGATCCCCTGCTTAGGGAAGAGGCAAGGCCAGTGAAGCATTAATGCTTCCAAAAAGACCTGAGGTTTCTGTGGTGAATTCTCATTCCCTAAAAATGCAGCTGTAGAGCAGCTGCCGGCAGCTGAGGCTCTGTCCTGTAGCTATGCTGGGATAGGGAGAAGGTCATGGGAAGAGTTGGCTGCAACTGCAGGAAGCTGCTGTGCAGGTCATTCTTGAAGTGCTGTGCTAATGGGCAGCTTAACCATCCTTGTTGTTTCAGAGATCTGGAGTAACTCCCAACAAGTTCATCTACAGTGCCCTTATTTCTGCTGCTGTGAGGCAGCTGGATTACAGCTACCTGACTGAGATCCTGCGAGACATGAGGAACAGTGAGGTGCCCCCCAATGAAGTTATCATACGCCAGCTGGAATTTGCAGCTCAGTACCCTCCAAAGTTTGACCGGGTGAGTAGCTGTGACTGGCTGCAGGGTGAAGAATGCCAGCATGGGAGGGGAAGTGTAAATGGCTGCCCTCATCTTTTTCCTGTGGTGTTGTCTGATGGTTTCTCAATAGCTATTTACTAAATAGCAGCTTGTAGCTACTGCACACTGGTATTACATGATCTCTGTTCTAACAGAAGCTTGTTTTGTTGGACTTTTATTTGCAGTATAAGTCAAAGAACCCATACTTGGAGAAAATTGATGGCTTCCGTGGCTACTACTACCGGTGGTTAAAAGTAATGGCAGGAGAGGAGACCCCCCACCCCTGGGAAAAATACAGAACAGCTAAACGTTGCACAGATGAAACTAAAGAAGAGGCTGTGCAGGGGCAGGTAGGGCACAATGCTCCAGCTGAGCGCTGAGTCCAGCATACTGCACTGGAAGAGCTTGGACTTTGCACCCTTGAACTGCTTCCTTGTAGTAAAGCTGTGTTGTAGTTTCAGGAACTCAAGTTCTTGTGATATTTACTAAATAAAATATTTGTCCTGTTGTAAGGAGAAGCAAATCTACTGTCAGTGAATTTGCTTAAATGCAGAGAATTTAACTACATAGGCTGTAGTTTAGCAAACTCTATGCTAAACAAGTCTTGTGACAAAGGAGAAACAATTCAAATTTAACAGTGGTTTAGTTCAGGGCTAGTTTTGTCTTTCCTGCATTGTTATGCATTTGAACATCTAAATGTGTCCTGCAAGTCCATAGACTGCTGGTGTTCCTAACTCGATCTCTGCACTAATTCAAGGTTAAAAAGCCTTAGTAGAGAACTGCAGTGAAGCTTACTGCTCATCAGAAGAGATCTCACTGCAGAACTGTCCTGTTTCCTTTCCCCATAAACCTTTAAATTCCCTTATTTGAGGGAAAAAATTGATAGGATTTTGTTAAACAAGTTGCATATAAAATATCTCCTGGGAGACAGAGTTGCCTTAAAAACCAAACACCTTCACAATAGGGGTACAGGTTTGCCAGAAGATTGGCCCACTCTGTCAGGAAGGCAGTCTTTATTTTAAAATAAGCAGCTACACAAAAAGCAACTCCAAAACTACAGCCTTTGTGTGTATGACCCAGGTGAATTTGCCATTTTAATTGCAATACAAATATCCAATCGCACAGAAGGTAGCTGTAATTGCACTCGTAGTCCATTGTATTGGGTGATATGGCTCAGAGTTCAAAAGGTGGTCTGTCTCTTTCACCCAGAACAGCCTCTGCATCCACAGTGAGTGCATTCAATGATTCTCCCCTGGAAAAGAAACATGACAGGGATATTTCAGGCCAGCTGTTGGGAGCAGGCAGGCCAGCAGGCATAAACCTCAAAGCAGAGGCTGCCTTTTGGAAGAAGCCCCTTTAATGCAGAATCTACAGTCTAGTTTTTTGTTGTTTCCAGTACGTTAACAACTATAAACAACTGCATGCCAAAGCTGACAGTTACTTAAAAAGCAACTAGATATTAACTACTAGCAAAAGGCAGGAAGTGTTGGAGCTGAAGAAGCTTCCAGAAAGAAAAACAATGCCTCCTCTGCTGTCCATCAGCTGTGTGAGGCTAGAGTGGCTACTGCAAAGGTCCAGACAGAAGGGCAGGAACAAGCTGAAAATTCTTACCACTTCCAGCTTGCTTTTGGGCACTCTACAGATGCAGTTGGTTCCAAAGTTGGTGTCCCGCGTCTGGATGCACCGTAGGCAGCAAAGGTTCTCATAACCCTGTTTCTTCCACTTTGCAATCAGGTTTTTGTCAGCATACCCTTCCTTGATGCAGTATTCATAAAGCTCTGTAGAAGAGCAGACGCAAGTAGCTCCCATTAGATGTTAAGATGACTCACTATAAGGAATTTCTAGCTATGCTAACCAGCTGTTAGAGCTGCACAGATGTCAGCCTTCCCTCCACCCTCCCTACCCCGAATGCTAATCCTCCTCAGCACCCCAGTTCCCGTGCCTCTGCAGGCAGATGTCTCACTATGTCCTGTTTTCCCTTATTCAGTGCCAACCAACTTGTGTTTCTCACCTCTGCTGATAGCTTTTCTTTTATAGAAGAGATCAAAGATGTAACGTGTTTTCTGATGGTGGATTCTGAAGATAGGCCAAAGGGATTCCACTTTCCTCTTCCCTTCGTGAGGCTCAGTCTCCGCTGGGAAGGAATACAAATATGACATTCCAGCTAATTCTCCTAGGCTGCCAAATTACTCCCTCAGTCACTTCGGAATAAACTGTTCTAAGACCATTCCTAACTTTAATAGATTATAGAGTTAAGAGCAGGATGTCAGGGAGAAAAATGTGATGTGACTCCTTGAGGAAATGAAAGCAGAAAGAAGCCAAGGATGATGTGACCTCCCCTGGGATGGAAGGTGATTCTGTGTATGCCCTGACTTGTCAGACCAGTGTGGACAGGAACTACCAGCTCATCCACACATGCCAATGAGCTTCACTCAGCTTGGCCACAGAGTGCCCCAGAACACCTGTACCCCATTGCTGCAGGCACAGATACAACAAATGCCACTTCATATTCATGGAGGTCCCAAAGCTCATTTGAGGAGTCCACCCCTGACAGCACCCAGCTCTGCTGTGTACCTTCTCTCATCTTCTGATCCAGCTCATCCAGCGTGGGCTCGATCAGCTCCCAGCCATCTGGAGGCGGCTTCCTGCTGCGCTTCACTTTGGGCATTGCCTTGGAAATGAAGGAGCTTTACAGGGAGGAACCTGGAAGCCTCGAAGTCCTGGAAAACACCGGGACAAAGGAAGCGAAAAGAGTTGTCAGGGACATTCTCTCCTAAGATTCCCGTGCCCCTTCACCATTCTCTTAGATGATTTATCGATGCCCAACCTCACCCAACGCAACCCTCAGGACGCGGGGAACCGTGCAGCGAGCGCTGACCCCCCCCGCCCACCGCGTCCCACCACAGATCCCCCCCCGCCTTCCGCCAGCCCCAACCACCCCTGGCAGACGGCCGCCAGCCTTCGCAGAGCCCTCCCGAAAGGCCCGGAGCGGCTCAGCCCGTGCCGGCAGCAGCACAGCAGGGCTCCGAAGGCGCCGGTCCCGCTCACCCACCGAGCGCCGCCGGTCTCCGTCGCGCCGCCTCTGACGTCACGCGGGGCCTCACCGCCCTCCCCGCTGAGGTGTTCGCGGTGCTGCCTGAGAAAAAAAAACCCTCCCCGCCCTGCGGCCCTGACGTCCCGCTCCTCAGCGGGGACAGAGCAGGAATGCGGCAGTACGGGGAGACGTGCGGCCTCGCTCCGAGCTGTGGATGAGCGGAGGGGCGGCGGGGGCGGGGCAACCCCGCGGCGGGGCCTCGCGGGTGGCGGGGCCCGGGCGGGCGGAGAGCAGGGGGGCGGGGCGGCTTCCGCTTCCGGGTCGTGGCTGGGGCCGGGGGGGCCTCGCTGCAGCTGCCGCAACCGCCATCGCCGCGATGCCGAAAGGAGGTGGGGGCCGGGCGGGGGGCGGCGCGGCGCTCGGTAGCGGGCGGGGGGAGAACGCGACCTTCCTTGCTTCAGGACGGGGCTCCGGTCCTCCTTATCGCAAGGGGGAGAATCCCGCCCCTCGTCACCTCGTGGGGCGCAGAACCGGCCCTCGTTGCCTCTCGAGGGGCCGCGTTCCACCTCGCGTCGGCTGCGGATGGCCGGGAGGAATAGAGGTGTCCTTCCCCCCCTCCAGCTCGGGCCTTGGGGGCCGTCTCTCCTCTCCCACCCCTGCCCCACGTTACTGGGGGTCCCGCTCCCCCGCCCGGCTTTCAGGTCTTTATGGAGGAGGGATTTGTGCGGAGCTCCCCGCGTTGCGGCCACGCAGAGGCAGCTCCTGTGCTGCCTGGCCGAGCTTTGGGGCCCTGGCCGAGCCCTGGGGCTCCGCAGCCCGCCCGTCTCGGTGCTCTCACGGCAGCGGCCGGGCAGGAGCAGCTCTACGAGGCAGCGGGGCTGGGCCCGGCGTCGGGGGCTCCGAGCGCTCCTTTCTCTCCTTTCTTGTGGCTCCGAGGAGCGGGTACCGACTTGTTCTTGTGATTAAGGAGATGTAATGAGGGAATGACACCGTCAGGTCTGAGCTGGATCCACCCAGAACCTTCTCCAGATGCACCATCTGCATAATTGGCTCCTGTGTGAGCGTTTATGAAATCCCAGGCACGTTCATGGATGTAAGCCCGGCCTCATCATCTTCTCTGTAGTTTTCGCCAATTTATTTCATTAGCATTTCCCAAGCTTTAGTTTCATGAAATCTGCTTCCCAGTTTATATTTTCTTTAAGCTCTTTGTGTTGTATTCACTTGCACGACTTTAGGAGGTGGATCTGAAGCTTTCCTGTATTTTTGTGAAGGCAAATAGCTGTGGTGGGTTTTACTCCTGGTTACTTTATGTAAATGCTGTGTAGCTGAGCTCCCTCTGCTCTCTGTTTCATTGTATGTTTTAAGGTGATTCTTTCCAACCTTTCTTTTCTTGGGAAAAGAGGGATCATTGTGTTTTCTCACCCAAAAAATTAGGAGGAGTTATTGTAATTATATTGTTGGTAGCAGAGAAGTGGACTTCTGCAGTCCATTTAATATAAAATAAGGGGAGTTAGGTAGCTAGCAATACATTTTGCTACAGAATTACTTCTGATTATTTTGTTCATTTGTTGGACACTTTGCTTCAAAATGAATGCAATTCCTTCACTGTTTTTTTTTTTCCATTCTCTCCCATTAAAATTCCTTCACTGTGCTGTTTGAAGCTGAAAACATTTACTCCAACACACGTGCCTCAGACATCAGGCATTTGTCCTGCATTCGAAATCTGCAGATTGTATTCAAATGCACTTTGCAGGGGAGAATGAGAATCATCAGCCCTGTTTTCCAAATGGGAAAGTGGGCACGGACCTGCACTGGCACACATGGGGTCTGTGCTCAGCTTGCCTGGAGTGGGGGCTGATTCTTCAACTTATTTCTTTTCAAGCGTTTGTTTTTAAGGTAATTTCTCTTGGAGCTGCTTTTCTCGACTGCACGGACATTCACAGAAATAACACTGCTGCAATTCTTCAATTCTGAGCCTGGTGTAAAATCTTTCTGCTGAGCAAGGAGGGTGCCTGGTATATGTCAACTGTGTAGCACAGCATTGCTTCGGTCTGTTTAGATTTGTGTGGTGCTGCCTGGTGTGTCAGGTACCTCACTGTTGTTGCTTTTAGAGTGATGTCATTTGCCAGGCAGTGATGTAATGTCTCCTGGCAGCTCTCATCCCCATCGTGTTGCTGGTGCCACGTGGGGTGGTTGGGAGCAGGGGAGCTGAAAGCACAGGTGTTGGGCTGCAGCAGAGCTTTGGTTGCATTTAAGGTTTGAGCACCCATGAGCTTCCAAAACAGTACAGAGAATTCTGTTTTCTACCTTTCCTCATTTCATGGAAGGAAAACGCCTGGGAATGTCTGCAAGGCTTTGTAGCAGGGTTTGGAGAGAATTTATTTCATGGCTCAGCTTTTACCAAGCTCAGTGTATGAGAGTTTGCTGATTAGGAGAACTGGTCAGAAAATGTTGGATTTCTAAGGCCTGCCAAGGCAGTCTGCTCTGATCCGTCCTGTCCTTCCAAGTCCAGCAAACACATCCAGGCTGACTGTGAGCAGCAGGGTGGCCATGATGGATCTCTCCCGTGTGTCCTGCTCTCCTTTTTGCACCTCTTTGAGGTTTCCTTGTCCTTTGCAGGTGATGTGGGGAGAGAGAGGAGGGAGCACGTGGCTTTCGTGCTGCTTGGCAGATGAGGACCTGCAGGAACAGAGCTCCCTCATCTGAGCTGGTTGTTCTCTGCTGGTCCGTGCTCCAGTTGTGCTTTGAGCTCTCCAGCTGGCTTTTACCAGCAGCTTTTTGAGCTGTAACATAAATGGAGCAGCAAACTGCAGGAAGCAATGATAGGGTTGGAAGCAGAGCTTAGCATGGCAGTCTGACCAGCTGAGCTGGCTCTCCTCTCTTCCCGATTTCTGGAGCTTGTTTTCATTTTTCCTTATAAAGCAGTAAAACGTGGAGGCTCCTTTTAGTAGTTCCTCAGTTCTCATTATCATTCCCGAAGCTTTTGTCCAATTGGCTTTCTATTTTCTCTTGGCACAGCCTCAGTGCAGGGGAGGGGCTGAGGAGGCGAGCTTGTTGGGGTAGCTGGCTGTAAGTGGCTGTAACAGCTGCTGCCACGGAGCGCGCTGCAATTCCTGCTGTGTTGGAAATGCTGAGAGCAGGGCTGGGGCTGAGAGCAGGGCTGGGGCTGAGAGCAGGGCTGGGGCTGAGAGCAGGGCTGGGGCTGAGAGCAGGGCTGGGGCTGAGAGCAAGGCTGGGGCTGAGAGCTGCTCGCCAGCAATCCTTTGGCAGCCCCTCCTGCCTTGCTCTCTGCAGGGCAAACTCGCATAGTTGAGGTGTTGTGTAGATGGGCTCCAGTGCCTCAGAATCCAACCCGAGTGAGAAGAAGGAATCGATTCTCTGAATGTCTTCCTGTGGAATAGTAATCCCTGTTCTCTATGTAATAGGTTCAAAATTCCTGGAGTATTTCATTGAGACAGGCAAGTCCCACGTGTCTTTGTTTCGTTGTCAGAGCAGCTGTTTTGGCTTGTCTTCTGTGCATCAAAAAGCTGCAGCGTGTGCTGAAGGAGGAGTTAAGCATCAGGAAAACTTATTACTAAACTATTTATTTTCCTTATTTATTTCTGTTTGTGCAGGTAGAAAAGGAGGCCATAAAGGCCGAGCAAGGCAGTACACAAGTCCTGAAGAGATTGATGCACAGCTCCAAGCAGAAAAACAAAAGGCAAGGGTATGTATTTGCCTTCATTCTGTACTCACTGTTATAAGCCCTGCCTTGTGCAGCATGCTTCATTTGCAGTTCGTGAGAAATGCCAGCTTAATCATTCAGTGGTTGCAGCATGGATTCTGAATGCCTGTGGCTGGGGAGACCCCACAGAGTGGCTCAGCCCAGTTCTTCACAGAAGTGAGGCCAGGTTGGTCATCCAGTCAGAGCTGTGAAGGTTGCAGGGTAAGGAAGACAATCACGCAGCAGCTCTAGGCATCCTTGCCCTCAGTAATTTGTCATTCTCCAGTGAAAGCTCACTTTTTTATTCCTGTTCTGCAGCTTGGCTATGGAGAAAAGAGGCTCACATGTTGACTTCTTTTCATATACAGAAATTACCATGTTTGCTCTCTTTCTCTTCTAATCTTACCCAAGTTCCTCTGATTTCTTTCTGTACACACGGTTTTCTCCTGTGGCTCTGACCTGTAGGAAGATGTAAAAGCACTTTCTGGCTTGAGTTCCTTTTTTGTGCACTTCTGTGCCCCAGCACAGGATCGTAGTCCTCCCTCCCCTGCAGCTACTGGACTGGTGTTAGAAAAGGCATGACTACTTCTTGCAGAACTTGCTCTCTTGTGCTGCCAAATTATCTCTGCTATGATGGCACTCTCTGCTATTTTACTGTGACTTTCTGAAAGTGCTGCCTAAGCCCAAATGCACTCTTCCAGCTGAAACCTCACAGCACTGACAGCAGCAGGATAATTATACCCCACGTAGGAAACACTGATGAGCAAATCCCAGAAAAAGATCAGTCCTTCTAGCAGTTTTGAGCTATATTGCTGGCTCCTCTTGGATGTTTTAATTGTGTGGTTTGCTGCTTAGCCAGATACTCCAACTTTGATGTCTTCTTCCAAAGCACAGCTCCTCTTGGTTTGTTTTCTGATTGCATCCTCTTGGTTTCATGCCATCTTTCCAGCTACAGAAGTCACTTATCATTCTGGCCCTGTTTCTAGAATGATTCCAGCTCCTGCTCATACTGTGTCATTCACAACTTTAAGTTCACTAACTTCTCTGTTTCCAAGCTATTAACAAAAAAGCCAACTGGGAACAGAACAGAACCAGCTGCCTGCAGGAACCCCCATGAGGTGTCTGTCTTATTGCAAATAAAAAACCCTCAGAGCAGTGCTTTATGAGAAGGGTTTCTTGCTGTTTTCTTTGTGATCATCCATACCATGCAACGATGGTTACATCTAGCCCAGTTTCATTGGCAGAAGCTTATAAAAACTTTACAGAATTACTCCTCTTTGTGCCTGGAGTTGATCTGCTTTGGCAGTCCCTCTGTTGAGGGATGTTTGGTAATGGTAAAGCAAGCCATTCACACCCTTGTTGGTTCTTCTAATCTTATCTTCTAGTGATTTACAAATTAATTCCTAGATTCTGCTTAGTAAATGCCGTGCTAAAGAGGCTGCCTTCTTTGGGTAACACTCTTTTGGCTGCTGGCTGGCCATTTGCTCTTCCCTGGAGTTTTTATCTAGTGCAACTCTAAGCTCCATCCCTGCAGATTCCAGTCCTTGAGGTGCTGTTCACTGGAAACCCAGGCCAAAATTATTCTTCGTCTGGGGGAAGCAAAGAGCCTCTTCTGTCTTCCAACAACTTTCCAGTCTGGTGCATGGGGAGAAGAGCAGAGCTGTTTAGAGATCTGCTGGGGCAGGTGATGCTGTGCTGAGAAGCAGTTCTCATGCTGCAAGAGCAAGCAAGGCAGCCCTGGTGTTGGAAGGGCCACGTCTGGAGCACCAGTGTTCCCAAAGCTGTGTGCCACTCCTCCAAAACTGAGGTTCAGTTAAAAGTCACAGTGGGATCTGGGCTTTGTATTGACACGTTGTATCTCGTTTCATGGGGTTCTGTAGGAAGAAGAGGAGCAAGAAGAAGGTGAAGGAGCAACGGGGGACCCGAAAAAGGACAAGAAGTCTTTAGATTCAGATGAGAGCGATGAAGATGACGAAGATTATCAGGTGATTCTCAGGACACTTAATGCATTTTCACTGTTTGGTTTCTTGGGGTGTGAGATAGATGCATGTTCTTGAACTGGAGTTCTGTTTGAGAGCCATCTGTGGTAAATCTTTTATGGAAGAGCCATTGTTAGAAGCCAGAAAAACTTTCTTGACTGCATTTTGTTCTGAAAGTGACCATTTGTGTATTCTGTAAGTAAAATGCAAAGGTGAGATGATTTCAAAAGAGACTAAAGATACCTGGCAGCATAAATCTTGGTTTCTGTTTGGCAGTGAAGGCCCTTTGAATGCTACTTCTGGGGTGTGTTGCAGTGTATCTGGTGAGTTCCAGTGCAAGATAATTCTGGGTTTCTTTGAGTTTCTTAACCACCTTCTTTTTCTTGAATCTTAGCAAAAGCGCAAAGGAGTGGAAGGGTTGATAGACATAGAGAATCCCAACCGTGTAATTCAGACAACCAAAAAAGTAACTCAGCTGGACCTGGATGGACCCAAGGAGCTCTCACGGCGAGAGAGGTGAGTTTTTCCTGCAGCAGCAGACAGGCTGGACTCACTGCCACTCCAGCTGCCTCTCCTTACAAAGAAGCTGCCTGTTCTGTGTCACCACTGTGTCCATCCTGAAGGCAGGCAGCTCAGCCGCTTGTGCTGAGTGAGTTTGGTTGCTGTGAAGTGGATGCAGTCCATTTCTTGCCTGAAGTTTTATGCCACAAAATGTGATGTAACTAAAATTCATTAACCTGAGGTCACACTTGGGTCGTTTTTCACCCAGCTGCAGAAGGTGCCCCAATGACAGGTGCTGATCTCCCAGGTTCCCGAGGTCACAGTGCGATTTTTGTTTGAGCTGGTGAATAAGATGAGAAGCCCAAGTGTGATCTTGTAGTTTAATTTAGCACTCGAGAATTTCAGGGTGAAAAATGTAATGTTGCTTGTCTTAAATAGGTTGTTTAAGATGGATTATTTGGGATAGGCCTCAGCAGAACTACCTCGAGGTGTGGAAAAATGTTATAATGCTGTGCAGTCTGGGGGTAATTCCTTTGACCTCATTGTGTCTCAGTGCTCTGATGTAGCTGAAGGTACAAAACCTTCTGCTTCTTTCCATCTCTCATCAAACACCACAGCAGGCACAACTTGTGCTTGAAAAGTGGTGGTGGGGTCCCACAGCCTTGGTAGGCAGTCTGTCTCTGCACTCGCCTTCCATCCCAGTCAGAAAGCCTCCCTTAGAGTACATCTGCACCTGCATGCTTCCCTGCATATTCTAACAACTGCTGTGTTTCACTCAAACAGAGAGGAAATAGAGAAACAAAAGGCAAAAGAAAGATACATGAAAATGCACCTAGCTGGTAAAACAGAGCAAGCCAAGGCAGATCTTGCCCGACTAGCCATCATTCGGAAGCAAAGGGAAGAAGCTGCCAGGAAGAAAGAAGAAGAAAGAAAAGGTTGGGGAGTAATTAATCACATCCTCTTACTTCTCTTTTGCAATAGCTGTGCTGCCTCGAGGCACGATTTCTGATATCTGTGCTGTAATCCCTCACCTCCTGCATGGTGTTGCTGAGTGTCATTGCAGCTCTGTTCATCAAAGCCAGGCTTGGCTGTTTCATTCCTATAAAGCCATAGGATGTCTGAAGTGGGAGAAGGCAGGGACAGAAGGGAACTGCTCTGACATCTGTATCTGCAAGCTCAGCCTCCCAGGCAGTGCTTGCTGGTATTTGGGGATTTATTGAGTTCCTTGTGCTGGGTGTGATTTATCTGCATTGCCTGCTGGGGATACAAACTGCACAGGAAATTTGCAACAGTCTTCCCCTGCCTGGATTTCCTCTTTGGCTCTGATAAACGTGAGACAGAACTCTAATGAATGTGTTCTTAGTGACTTCCACAGGGAAATTTATGCAGCAGAATCAGGGTAATTTGCAGCAGCCTGAAGAGAGGCACAGAACATAAGGAAGGTGTAGGGAGGGCTGCTCCTGGAAGCCTGGAGGGACCCTACCACAGATGAGTGGGGAGGGTCAGAGTTATTTCCTCGGTTATTTCGGTGTAGGTAGCAAGATTTCAATCTCTGCAGCTATAAGGCTACCAGCACTCCCTGTCGTGCACTGTGAAACGATGACACCTCTGTTCTTTTCCTCCTGCAGCAAAAGATGAAGCGGCCATGGCAGGTAAAAGACTGCAGTCACTGTCCCTTAACAAGTAAGCACAGGACATGCAAGAGGAGGAAACGCCAGGGAACCGTGCCTGGTGCCTGCCAGGACCTCTGTCGTGTTGCATACCATAGGTGCCACGTAGGGTGTGCTGCGGCATCGAAGTCACCTTCACCTCCAAGAGACACTGACAACGTGTTTTGTCTTCATCCTGGCACAATTTCCATTTGGGGTTAGGGGCAGCTGCTATCCTCGGTGCAAAACTGTGCTGAACAGCAATTCTCTGTAACAGTTTGAAAACCTGAATGTTTTTGCTGTTTTTAGGTTTAAGAACTCATAGACCAGGGGGATTGGGGGGAGTGGGAGGGGGGGGAGCAGGGTGGGAGGGAGCTGTGTGGGAGGGGAGATGCTTCAAACATTAGATTGCAAGAAAATAGATGGTGGGGTCATTGTGGGGTGGGGCACGCGGGGTGGGGAGCTTTGACTTGCTCATGGAAACCCAAAGGATAACGTATGTGTGGAATTCTTTTGGGCAGACGGCCCTTCAACTTGTACTGCAGGCTGTTGCAGTGTAATCTGGGAGCCTGACTTCATGGACATCTGGAGCGTTCTGTTCCTTCCCATTTTCACCCCTCCTTTCTCACAGCCAGTCTCCCCCTTTTCCCTCCTCTTCATTATTTTTTTTTTTTTCCTTCACCTGATTAGGGATAGTGCCAGTTTTTAACCACGTTATCCTTTGTTTAAAGGAAGACAAAAATATATCATGAAATATATCAGACCCAGATGGAAAAAAACCAAACCCACCTTGATGAAGTTAATGAAAGAAAAAAAAAGGAAAAACAACAGAACTTGTATATTTGGCTGATTAAAATGTAAATTAAGAATTGCCTCGTGTAAGTGAACTGCTGGAACACGCAGTGCAGCAGCAGTGTGGTGTCGCAGTGATTTTTGTGTCTGCTGCCTTGCTGCTTCTCTCTGCTGTTTACGATGTTGGGTTTGGCTCAGGGTTCAGGAGCCCTAACAGCAGCTGCAGCCTGAAGGCAAAAAGCTTTCTTGCTGTTCTCTGATGGACATCTTGCACAATCTGGTTAGCAGAGAGGAGAAAAAGGTTACCTTCAGGCTGCTGTTGAGCTCAGTGTGTCAGAAAGCCGTCGCTGTGCTGTTGCCCTGTCAGCTGGGCTGTGCCACAGCGTGGGGCTGGCAGGAGGTGCTGCAATCTGGTGCCTTGTGGTTGGGACCCCAGCAATTCTCAGCTTTATCAAGAACTGAGGTGGAGCCAGAGGGTCAGGTGGAAATTCGGGGTGAGCCTTGGAGCAAAAGGAAGTGGCTGGGGCCACGCATGGGAGAAAGGGGGGCTGGTTCAGGTGCGCTGGTGGGTCACACGTCAGCATCTCTTCCTGGATTTCCTAGAATGCAGCTCCACTATGAGAGAATGGACCAGAGCTCAGAATCACGGGGTGACTCGAAAGTCATCATCCCAGTGCTGCCAGCAAGGATCCCTCCTGGGGTTGTGGTCAGTGCAAGGGCTGCTTCGCATGGAGGAGCGCTGCCAGGAGCTGTGTTAACCTGAGCCCATGCAATTAAACCCTGCCAACATGCTGTAATCACACGTGTTCACATTAAAATGCTTTAAAAAAAAAAAAAAGAAAAAAGAAAAAAAAAGAAGAAAAATACTGAGTTTACATGGGAAAATCTCTACTTTATTATTGAGTTCATAAAGCGATGTATGACCAGCATCGGTTAGGATGGTAACAAAAACAGTAAAAAAGGAATCAAAAAACAGCCACCTTTATCTCTGTGTCAGAACAGCCCGAGGCTGGCTGGCAGCCGGGAGCGTGGGGCAAAGGGGTGCAGCAGTGGAGCAGCAGAGCAGGGGCAGCTGCAGCCGGGACCTCCTGGCTGTGTCCTTCATTTGATCCTGAGATCCTTCAGCGCCGACTCCAGGCTCTGAAACAGAAATTGTTCACCGACTGCTTTTTTACTTCCCAAGGTGAGCAGAGCAGTGCAGACCCCAGACTGGGGGACCCCAGGGCAGGATGAGCATCGTTCTGGGCATTGACTACACTGAGCTGGGGCTAAGGAGGGACTGATGTGGTCGGGGGGCTCGGGAGGGCCTCACCTTGACATCCCAGATACTCATGCCGCCGTCCATCCCCGTGGTGCAGAACTGTGAGCAGTTGGCTTTGCCCCCTGCCAGCACGGAGATCTGGCTGTGGAGCACAGGGGTGGGAGGTCAGACTGCAGCCCCAGACCCCCCCATGTGCCCCGGACACCCTTTTAGCACCTGATGCTGTTCTTGTGCACTGTATCCAGAGCAGCGTTGGCCGTGTCAGAGCTCGCCTTCTTATCCAGGTTCTGGAAGCGCTCGCGGGCAGTGAGGCCACGCTGGGAGCTCTGCTTGGGGACGTCCAGCTTCCCCCCAAAGCTCAGCGTGCCCGGGCCCTCTTCATAGGTGAACAGCATGGGGTAGCAGTCGTGGCCCTGGGGGGGAAGTGGTGGTCCTGCTCAGAATCACCCAGTGTGGTGCCCACCCTCAGCCCAGCCCAACTCACCGCAGCCACCAGGCTGCTCTCAGTGATGAAGGTGACGGCCAGGAGGGGAAGGGTCTCAGTGCACAGGGAGGCAACGCTGAAAGGGAGGGACAAAGCATGAGCAGTGAGCTGAGGCCCTGCTGAGCACGGCGCAGCTCATGACGTGGGAGTGGGGCTGTGATGCTGCAAGGAGAGGCTGTGCCTCCTGCACCCAGCTCCACTCAGCCTTTCACCCCCACCCCAGCTCCATCCCAGCTCCACCCTTGCATCATTTTGGGGACCGTCCAGGCCACAGAAAAGCAGCTGCCCTCCCAAACCTGGGCAGCCACACCAAATCACTGCGTAGCTCACCCCATCCCAAAAGCTTTCCCAGGTTCCCCCCAAATCCTCCCTGCAGCCCCAGCCCTGCTTACGCCATCTTCTTGTTGGCATCGGCGAGGCAGAGGGTGCTGTCGTGGCTCACCCAGGCCACACGGTTGCCGCTGGCTGAGAAGCAGATGCTGTGCACCCACCCACAGCTGCTGCTCGACTCAAACATCAGCTCCCCAAAGGGCATCTTGGAGCCCCATGGCGTGGGGCTGGGCCGCTCCTCCACCTCCTTGATGTAGGCTGAGAAGATCCTGGGAAGGAGGAGACACCATGGAGCAAGCTCCATCGCTGCTTGCCCCATGCAGCCCTGTGTTACCCCTGGGGTTCCCCCTTTTCCCTCACCGGCACTTGAAGTCGCAGGAGCCGGCGGCCAGCAGCACGTTGTTGGGATGCCAGTCCAGGCTGAGCACCGTGGAGCGGATGGGCTTCTTGATGTGCTTGCACACCCACCTGCAGGGAGAGGAGTGTCGGTACCCCCAGAGCCCCCAGGCACGCTGCAAGGCTCTCAGACCGCTGTCTGGGAGTGGCTGGGGCCTCCACGAACTGCCCTTGGCTACCAGCCTGTGTCAGCCGCCAGGCCATGGGGACAGTGCTGCTTCCCCAGCTGTTGGGTCCTGCAGCACCTCTCTCCACCTCTCCATCAGGCTCCTCCTCTGCCTCTTCTTCCATCTCCTCTCTGACTCCCCTATCTCACCTCTACCTCCAGTCCATCATCCATCCACCTCCCCTCCACCCTCTCCCCCACCTCCACCTCTCCATCCATCCCCACCCACTGCAGACTGGTGGCCCCAAGGCCGCTCACCAGTCATTCTCCTGCTCGAAGTAGCAGATGGAGATGAGCCGGGAGCCGCTGCCCACAGCAAACTTGTTCTCCTTGGGGGACCATTTAACGCAGCGGGCGGCCCTGTTGATCCTCAGGATGACCAGGGTGGGTTTCCAGACGTTGCCCTTCAGGGTCCACACGTAGGCATTGCGGTCGGTCCCGCACGTCACCAGCCGGTTGCTCTCAGGAGCCCAGTCAATGCCTGGAAGGCAGAGGGGGGTGGGCAGTGATGTGGGGGAAGCCGTGCGGACGGGGACAGGGCACGAGGGGATGGGGGCCATCTGAAGGTGGAGATGTGGCTGCCCTCTGCCCCCGAGTCCTTCTCTGCTATACTCCCCCCATCCAATCAGTCCCAACCCTTCTACAACCTTCTCATCCCATCCCTGGGTGCCTCCCGACACACTGAATTAGGACCAGGAACACTGGACACAACCCGCTCTTTCCCCTACAACCCCTGCCCCGAGGCCACCAGTGTCACCGAGTGGGGTTGGGACCGACCTCAGGGCACAGCCACCTACATCCCCAGGCACTCACCTGTCACCTGCCCGTTGTGCTCCTTCAGCTCGTGCACCTTGCTCCACTTGGCCCCGTCCTTGCGGTAGATGTGCACCTCGTGGTTATTGGGGCACAGCGCGATCTCTGTGGGGTGAAAGCAATTCTGATGACCCCACACTTGCAGGGTCAGCCAAGGCTCAATGCATCTCTGTCACACACACAGCCCTTCCCATGCCCAGGCTCCCGAGGGCACAGGAGGGAGCCATCCTCGTGCTGGGCTCTGCTGCAAACGGTGCTTGGCAGAAAGGGCAAACCCCCAAACCCCACAGCTCAAATCCCCTGTGCCCCAGTCCCAGGGCTCTGCTGGGAGGGATGGGTTGGGATGGCTGTGGGTGTTTGGCGCCCGCTGGCCCCATCCTGCCCTGCACAGCGGCCCCATCACAGAAAGCCCTTTTTGTTCTCTCCCACATCCCCCATACGTGGCCGGGAAATGCCATCAGCCATGAATCACCGGCTCTGCTCCGCTCCCTCCCCCTGCAGTGGGACTGAGGGGGTGTGAGCAAGGAAATGGGACATATCCTAAGCTGACCCCAAAACCCACCTGCACGGCAACACCCACTGCCCCAAACTGAGCTCTATGGCAGGACCACAGGGTTTTGGGACTCAGTACTTACGGGTCCGGTCCTTATTCCAGGCATGGCAGCTGATGGGCTCCAGCAGGAAGCTGTGGTAGGCCATGGTGTGCGGGCTGGGAGGATGAGAACGTTGTTGGGACACGTGGCTGTGGGGACAAAAACGCCATGGAGGACCCCTTTTCCATCTCCACAAATCCCTTGTTGGTATCCCTGGGGGCTCCGAGCTCAGAGCCTGCCCCAGTGAAGCTGATGACTGTTCTGAGGAGCTCAGATTTGGGGTGAGATGTTGGAGGGGACGGTGCTGCCTCAGGGCCAGGCACCCCACACTGAGCACCCCACAGCCGTGTGCCACATCCCAATGGGTGCCACGTCCCAAGAGCACCATCCGTGCCCACCCTGATCCCCCCCAGCCCTGGGGCAGGGAGAGGCAGGAGGAAGCCGTGAGTGCACCAA